CCTTTTGAATATGAAACTCCAGGTATTCAAAAGATGTGCCTGAGGGACCTGTAAAAACAAGACTTGAAACTTCAACAGAGTAGAAGTTGATTTGTCCTTGTCGGTGGTAATCTGCATCATTAAAGGTGATATATAAATGTAAAAACAAAACAAACATTTCCATGTCCGTTGTAGTGCTATACTCTAGCTTGGCTACTTGACAGATTGAGTTTTTCAGTTTGCTGCTTTTTTCCATCTTTGTGCACATTCCCAGCTGTCCGATTGTAATTTGTGTTGTCTTCATTGAGATTAATGTTTTGCTTGTCAAGAATGGATTCATACGTTATAGGGAAATGTTTCACCGATGGTAGCACCACAGGTCTCATTAATGTGTGCTACTGTTTTGTCTCGATTGGGGGGGGGGACAAATACGGTCATAGTGGTGACATGCCAACACTGCGGTTAGTATGATGCCTTGCTGTGATATCATGACAAAATCAATGACCACCAAAAAAAGGTAGCCAGGTAGAGGTCCACCAAATATTTGTGCCCAGGGGCCCATTACATGATGATCTGGGCCTGTTTACAATGATGCACAAAGCTTCATGAAAATGAATTTAAAAGTATTAAATTTTATAGAAATTGAAAAAGGAAACTGTATTAAATGAACATTATTGTAATGTTGCATTAAGGACATTTTTTGGGAACAGATGCTGTAAATGATAAAAAAAGAAACATGTTCCAGATGAAAATATATAATATAAAATACTGTATAATTTTGTGTACCTGTTTATATGTATTACTGACTGTGTTAGTTAAAATTAAAATTCATAGACGTTGATTTTTTGAAAAGTCAAAAGTGGCTTTAGTTGCAGAAACACCTTTTAGGGTAATACCTCATCACAAAACTAGTATAAAACAATGTCTCAGGCATCAGTCAGTGTATTTGCAACTGTTTTGTGTAATACCTTTCTGTGATGTAGCTTTTAAAGGCTTTGACCATTTGATTCCTATCACCACTGTTAAATTATGGAGAAATGTGGTAAATTCTGTGAAATTCCCCATTAAGCTAACTCACATATGGGGGGGGGGATCAAATAAAAATAAAATTTGTAATATGAATATTGTGCATAGTGTGTACATAAAGATGTAAGCACACCCCATTAAATATTAATTTTTTTGACATGTGGACATATCACTATTTGATCTTTTTATATGGGCATTTGATATAGCTGTCTACTACTTTCTGACATCTACTGGGAGAAATTTTTGCTCACTCCTACATTTCTCTCAACTGCACAACTGTAAAATTCCCTTCAAGCCCTCTGTGATATGAAAGAGAATTTATAGTAGAAGAAGATTCTGTGATTGCAAGTTGGCCAGGCTCTGAGACAGCAAAGCAGCCCCAAACCATAGCATTTCATCCACCCTGCTTTATAGTTCATATGCAGTTCTTCTGATAAAATACGGTCTGTTTTTTGCCAAACATGGCGTTTGATTCTTTGGCCAAACAACTCTGTCTTTGACTCATCTGTCCGTAGCACATTGTTCCTGAAGTCCTGGTCCATGCCTAGATATTCATTGGCAAACTTTAGTCTTGCCCCGGTGTTCTTTCTAACAATAGATGCATGCACTTTGACATCAACAGTGGCAAGAGCTACCTGCAGATCCTGTGATGAAATTTTGGGGTTCTTGGAGACTTCTTTTAGCATCTTACGGTCTGCTCACGGGTTAAATTTGTTGGGGCGGCGTGGGCTAGACAAGTGGGAAGTCATTTTAAAACTTCTTTACTTGTTAATAATCTTCTGGACAGTGGTATGATTGATTTTAAATATTTTGGAAATCTTTTTAAACCCCTTCTCAGACTCTTAGGCATCTACAAGCTTCTTTCTGAAAGCCCCAGAGAGCGTGCACCTAAGTTCAATTTGACACATTTGAAGTAGTGATATATGTAGAAGTGTTTTTACTTCTTCCATACAAAAAATGTTTATTTCAAACGTCAATTTTAAGGGTTCAAGCTTTATTACCTTTATCTGTCAACGTTAAATTTAACTGAAGACCTGGGGCCGCATTACGGAAACTTCCTGTCTTTTTAACTTAAGGTCTGACAGGTCAAGATAAGATTTTTCACAAATTTGTATTACAGAAGCAAATCTTATCTTACAAAATCTTACCTAAAGGAAATCTTAACCTACTCGACTGAAGTCAGTGATCAACTGTTATGTCTGTTACCACACAACTGATCCGAGCACAGCTAAAACATAAACATGTAATCAAAATAACGTTAAAAATGTAGGTTGCAGCTACTGTTGTACAAAAGTTCACAACAAAACCAAAGTGCAATAAACTGGAGATTTATGAATGTTGTGAGTGTTCTGTTTATCAGAATGCCACTGCTGCACAGTTCCAGTTTCCATTTTGCAAATGCTTAGAATACTAAAATGATTCTTTACATGGTTAAAAGTTAAGGTGACCAGACGTCTGAAATGAAAACCGGGGACATCTCCATTTCCAGTCAGTATATCTTTGTAAACCGTGTCAATCATACAGTAGCCTACCATATACCATATGGCACATATAGATGGCTGAAAAAGTGATGCAGTTTAAAAAAATTATGTGCTGTTTTGTAGATAGCATTATAGCCTACATTCAAGTAGACTGTATGCCTATACAAATCAGATTTAGTTCCGTAACCCTGCCCCTGCTTTTAATCCCTGGGTTAGCCTGTGTCTTGAAAAGAAGTTTGTGGTGGTGTTGTGGACTCTTTTGACACTTACTAGCTTCTGGTTGAGTTTTACACAGCAGTATTCTCTAAAATAGGCGAGCAAGAGGTAGAATAAAGCAATAAGTTTATTGCTTCTATGAAACAGCAGCTAACATAAAATATGATAAAATACACAATTTTTGTTAAGTTATTAACAATAATAATGGACTGTAGAAATGTTCCTTTAGAGCAGGGATGCACAACTCGGATCGTGGAGGGCACAGCTTCGTTATTTCCCTACTCAAACAAACTCAGTAAACCTTGCAATCAACAGATGGGTTAAATCAGGTGTGTTTGAGCAGTTAAATCACTAAATTGTACTGGACATCAGCCCTCCGGGACTGGAGTTGTGCAACCCTGCTTTAGAGTGTGATATTGTTGCCAAGCAACCATTTACTGTTGAATGAGCAGATGAACATTGTCTCCCATCACTGTATGCTGCAGTCATTTCATTAACTTTTTACCTTTTTGTCATATAATAATGAGCATATCCTAACATAGCACCACTAGTCTTGTATAGCACCAACCCAACAGTACCCCTCACCCATGCCGGGCCTGAATCTCAAATGGCTCCCTAGTACATAGTGCACCACGTAGAAATTTAAATACTGGTTCCTGCATCCCAACAGTGCATAACATAGCTAAAAATAGTCATTTGGGATTCGGCCACATCCATACATGGAAAAATAGTGCATTATTTGGCTGCAGAAACTACAATTTCAAAACTTCCCTAGCACACTATTTAGAGAGACTACAAAGCTGTTTGAGATTTAGCCTGGGTTTGATGCTATATATATATATATATATATATATATATATATATATCTCTTTTAAATTGCAGTTTTACAGTGATTTGTTCGTGTGTGTGTGCGTGCATATATATGTGTATGTATACACATATATGCACATATATACATACACACACAAATCACTGTAGAACTACAATTTAAAAGAGATATATGTCTTTTAAATTGCAGTTTTACAGTGATTTGTTCGTGTGTGTGTGCGTGCATATATATGTGTATGTATACACATATATGCACATATATACATACACACACAAATCACTGTAGAACTACAATTTAAAAGATATATATGTCTTTTAAATTGCAGTTTTACAGTGATTTGTACTGTAGGTACTTAAATTAAAGTCTGTGATATTAATGATGACATTGTTTACTTTGCTTTCTTTTTGCCTATTAGCTAGCTGACCAGCCTAGTTCTAGTTAAGAAAATAAGCTGTCAGCTCCTCAGTTCAAACAAACATTTTCTTCCTTCATTAATACACTCGGTGGTCCATGTGGGTAGTAATACGGACCATGGCTCAGCCAATCAGATTTTAGGACCGGGAACTATAGAAACTATCCCTTTTTATAAATGGTTAGTAGATAGCAGCAGACAGCCCCCTCTCTTGTCTAAAACAAGCACAACACAAAACGTCTGCCAGGCCTTTCTTAAGAGTTTCTAGTATGTTTCTAATTCACAGTTTAAAAAGGGGGACATTTCCAGGGATAGCTCAGGTCAGGGACAGGCCAGAGAACTTGTAGAGAGAAGAATTACCACTCTACAATGTCTTCCAGGTTTCTCAAATGTTAGAGGGTACCATCAAGCAAGTCAAAAATGAATGTTATTATAATATGTAATTATATAATATATAATGTTTATAATGCTTAAACATTTTTAATGTAAAAGAATGCATTGAATTCCTGAACACAGAACAGCATAAAACATTTTAACATCGCTGTTTTTATGAAAAAAACCATTCGCTGTAGAACAAAGGAAACATATAGGTGTTTTCTTTACCTTTTTAGTGAAATATATCCTTCTACTTTCTGAAATTAAAGGAAAGTTCTGAGCATGTGATTAGAAATTATTTTAACGTTTTTAGTCGTTTAGGTCCATTTACCTCCCTTCATTGAGTGTTTTGTCTAGTTAGGATGTTTCTGTAATACTATTTTCTTATATGGAGCCAGGATAAAATTATGAACTTAAAAACTGTTGTACTGTAATAGCTACTGTTCGAAATCCAGTCCTAACTGAAGTTGTCATGGTAACTAAACAGATAAATTAAGATTAAGATGTTTCTGTAATACAGCACCACATACCAGTACATCCAAATATGTTGAAAAAGTTTAAACTTTCATGCGGTGTACTTGTTTTTTCACATGACTCCAGTTGTTTTATCAAGCAGTAACTTGCATGTTGTTTGGTAGTAATCAGTGTATTTTTTCTGAATTTTGAAACTCCTCTCCCTCAGGTAAAATGATCATGCATGACCCATTTGCTATGCGCCCTTTCTTCGGCTACAACTTTGGTGACTACCTGGCTCACTGGCTAAGCATGGAGACAAGAAAGGACCCCACCCAGCTCCCAAAGATCTTCCATGTGAACTGGTTCAGAAAAGATCCTAAGACCAATTCCTTTCTGTGGCCTGGTTTTGGTGAGAATGCTCGGGTCCTTGAGTGGATCTTCCACAGATGTGGCCGCACCACTGAAGATGAAGCTGCTAAAAAGAGCATTATAGGTTGGCTGCCTCAAGAGGGTGCCATCAACACAAAAGGCTTGGGGAAGAAAGTGGATATGGGTGCACTCTTTGATGTTCCTAAAACGTTCTGGCAGAAAGAAGCCCACGAGCTCCGAGCCTACCTCACCCAGCAGGTGGGGGCTGACCTGCCTGAGCAGGTGGAGGGAGAGCTGAGGGCATTGGAGGAAAGAGTAAGGAATTAAGAGACAACAAGATGGTGATTCAATGTATAGTACCTTAAACATTTGCTGCATTGTGGCAATAGTTTAGTAAGGCACAGGGCTGAGTGAGAGAAGTAACTAATTTTTAAAGCTACTACTTGTAATTCTGTACTAACCTAAACGAAAGACCAATCACAAACATGGGAGGCATAGGAGCATTAGTTTTGCTCACTGAGAGCAGGATTTTGAGGAAATTTCATCTCAGTCTGTGATGTTGTGTTTTGATGGCTTCCATTACATTTTCCAAACACTCTGTTGGATGTTTACAAACCACAGTCTCAAATATCGTCTTTTATTGTGTTCTGTCACAGTTACTTGAAATGAAAAACATGTGTAGGACTAAACTTGAGGGATGGAGTGTGGAATTCAGTGAATCTATTTTATAAATCAAATGGTAATGGTGCTTAAGATCTGATCTGACTTAATAAACCACTTATAATTTGTCAGTTTATTTACTTGGTGAGTGAATCAACTACACACATACACAAATATTTTAGAATATTACAATATTCTAACGTCATTTTTGCATTGTTGCATTATTTGCCCACACAGTCTTTCACAGAGTGGTGAACAGCACCTCATGTTTGCCTCTGATAGACTCTCTGGGATGATCTTTTTATATCAAATTATATTACTGACCTGTTGCCAATAATCTAATTAGTTGTGAGATGTTCTACCAGTTTTTGTTTGTTTACAAGCCTGTCTTCTCTGTGTGTATAAAAATTTGCAACCCCCAACAGCCCCCCTAAAAACATTAATGTACATTTTGATTTTCATAAGAATGCATGTATCATTTACTGTTAAAATGTAACTCAGTAAAAACACTAGCCCATATAAATAATATTTAGAATTCGAGTGGTATACATCAGAGTAAGTGACTGTGATTGTGTTCTCTCTGGCCTTCACCACTCGAGCGGCAGTCTCCACCATCTACATTGATTATTGGACTCTAGCATCAGATATGGAAACAGAGACTCAGCAATCACAATACTCCTTCTCAGCTGCCAAGGTAAATTACATTATGCAGCAGCTTGCTGGCCTCCTCGCTAAGCATTGACTCGTTCTGAATGTGATTATTCTTGTAGGCTGTAACAACATCAAAGACAAAAAACTGAACTCTTAAAAAAATACTATTTAACACCCTCAAAAACTGTGGCGAAAGGATTTTTATCCCTGGTCCAATCCCCTGCCTAGGAAGAGGCAGTGGTTGTTTTAGCCACTTGTTAAACCTGCACAGTTGGCTCCAGGAAGCTTGTGTAGTTAATAAATTGCTGTTTGTCAACTTTTTTTTATCTTTTCTGGAACCATCCATCCTTTTATGGAAACAATGGGATCATCCCAGCAGGCTGGGCTTGTAGATTTTAAGTCACAATGTGTTTTACTCTGACATGTCTACCTGAAACTAGTAATGATTACTGAGCTATCCCTGTAATCATTACCAGTTGACCTAAAATCTGCCACTTATGCATGGGAATAAAGCGGAAAGGCACCTTTTTATTAACCCAGCTAATCTTATCAGTATTAAGACATTTACGTCTGGTCTCCATCCCCAAATTGTTTCACAGATCCAAAAACCTGTGCTTGCAACAAAATTATTAACAGATTGTATTAGTTTCAAACAGAGAAAAGGCATAGGCACAATTCATTTAAAACTTTCGTCAGCATGATAATTTGGATAATCTGAACATTTTGATTTCATAAGCCTATGTTGATAGTGTAGTTCTGACTTGGTTAAAACGATCTGTGTCTAACTCAGAAGTATCCCTGTCTGATTATAATCCATATAGAACTGGTAGGAAAGGGGTGGTGGAGTGGCTATTTACATCAAATTCATTATTCAAGTAAAAACTTTGGTATCCAAAGAAAAATCTTTTGAGGTCTTAGCCCTAAAAGCGTATGTAGGACACAAAAAACAGTTTCGTGGTAGCTCTATAGACCTCCTTCCGTGCCCTCTCAAACTGTAGATGACTAAGCTGAATTTTCAATCGATACATCAACTCAGAAATGCTGATCTTAGGTGATTTTCATCTAAATTAGTTAACTAATGCATCTGATCATTTGAAGAAAGTGTGCGAATCTATGTCTAATGCAACTAATTACAAAGCCAACACGACAATAGTGACCACTGCCCTATTGGATGCATTAGAAACACTAGCATAAGGTTCTCGGATGGTGGTTAGAAGCAATTTGGAACATTTTAATGACCAAGGCTTCGTAAATTACCTGCCGCTCAGTGACATCCACTACAGTTCTGAAATCCCAGATATTGATTTAGCGCTAGACCATTTTAGCAAAACTTTCCTGGTAGTGGTAAACAAGCATGCCCTGTATACAAATATCAGAATCAGAGATAGATCAACTCTGAAATATCTTCCTTGCTCAATGCAAGAAATAAAGCATGGGCCCTTGCTAGAAGAAATGGTGACAGAATCCATTGGCTTACCTTCAGATATCTGAGAAACAATTGTACTTCCTACATTAGAAAAGCTAAAGCAGAATTCTACCCATTAGATATTTACAAATTCCTCTTCTAAATTCTGGAAGACAGTTAATTTGCTCAATAACAAATCAATGCCTATACCAACCCATTTTGTGACTAATGATGATGATGAACAGATTACTGCACAGAGAGATCTGCCAAGCACTTATTACTCACTTTGCAGCTTTCATACATTTATTTGTTAATACTAATATGGAAGCCCCCCCTGCTGGATTAGTATTATCAATACTAAATAATACAAGACCATGGTCTCTTTACAATTCACCTTTTACTAATGTTTACTAATACAAAAGTGCCCCTCAATGAAATAGCCCCTGCTGTAAGACATAGTACAGGAGAGGATAGCTTGGACCCCTTTTTTCTGAGGCTTGTGACTCAGATTATTTTAGAGCACATTACATGTATTTTTAATCAATCTATTTCATCAAGCAGAATGTTCAGTATCTGAGACATGTAATTGCACATGTAATTTCACTTCACAAAGGAGGTGATGCCTCTGATCTTAATAACTATAGAACTATTTTAAAATTGTCATGCTTAACCAAAATTTTTTTGGCATTTGACCCACCACTTTTTGAGTTCAGGATGCGCACATACAAACCTACAAAAAATAAAGGCTAATTAATGATTAATAATTTTTAAAGATGGGTAATCAAATAATCACAAATAATCAGCCTTTCTAAAGCAAGCAATAAATGGTAAAATACATACAAACTCCTATTGTTGCCACATTTAGTACAAAATCGTATTTTAGTAGCATCAGTCAGAAAATATGTCAACACTAGAAGAATGAAATAATTATACCTCTATACCTGTATCTGTTGTAAATATTTGATTTTTTTTCTTATTTCCCAGCAAATTTTACAATTAAAGAAATGGTGTTAACACATTATGGCTGTGACCACAACAGTGTAAATACTGAATGTATGAAAAAACTTTCTTGTGCCAGAGTGATGTTATGACACAGGGAATAAACAGGAAATGGTACCTTCAGATTATTAGCTAACTTTTAGCTTTTATTAGACTTTTATGGTGTTGACAAAAAATCAGGACAGATTTGTTTATCGACAAATGTGAGTAAAAGTGGATTAATTTTTTTTCCCTTTCCCATGATTATAAATATTTATCCCTCTTTAACATAATGCAATTTAAAATGATCACAACTGTTTAGTCTATTTCAGACATCTTATTCCATAAGATGAAAAGAAATTGAGATATGTTGTTGCAGAAACAGGAAGCATCGTGTTATGGAAATTCTCTTTATTTGGTTCCAACCTACAGCATGTACAGTACAGTGCAGAAGTCTTAGGCCATCTGGGAAAAGAAATTTTAGGCCATCTGATTCTTTTTATCAGGGAAATAAGCATTTCTTCATCCAAAAACACTAACATTAGAATAAATATAAATAAATAAATAAACAGTATATTGTGATTTTATGTGTCAGAGTATGTTAGCATAACCGTTTCAAAGCCACTTCTGAAAAAATCCCAGTATTTACAGTTTCAGAATCAGAATCAAGCTTTATTGGCCAGGTATGCACATACACATAGAAAAGAATCACACAAACACACACACACACAGTCACACCTGTAAACCTTGCATTGCACAATGTATATGTAATATATTGAAAAGCTGAGTGCAGCAGCAGTTAAAGGGTGTACAGTGGGTGTATGAGGGATAAGTAAGGTAACATGTCAGATAGGTGGGGTAAAAGGGCAGGTAAGTGAGGTGCTAGAAGAAAATGCTGGTCTGAGACAGTAGTTACTGAGGATGGAGTGTTGAGTGCTACTATATACCATATATGCCATAGACCAATATATTTAAGATAAGAAGTGCAGTTGGAATATTGTTTATGTGTAATATTTTAACTGTTCAAGAGAGTGATGGCTTGTGGGAAGAAGCTTCTCTGTAGCCTGGGTGTCCTGATCCTCATTTGGCTGAAGCGCCGGCCTGAGGGAAGGAGCTCGAACAGGTGGTGGCCGGAATGTGATGAGTCAGTGGAGATTTTCTCTGCGTGCTTCCTGGTTCTGGAAGCATGCAGTTCCAGCAATGTGGGCAGCTTAACCCCAATTATCTTCTCTGCAGACCTGATGATATGCTGCAGTCTGTTGAGGTTGTGCTTGGTGGCTGAGTGACCCCACACTGTGAGGGACGTGGTGATGATAGACTCTATGATGGCTGTGTAGAACCATACCATCAGCTCCTGGGGCAGGTTGAACTTCCTCAGCTGACGCAGCAAGTACATCCTCTGCTGTGCTCTCTTGATGATAGAACTGATGTTGCTGTTTCAGGTCAGGCATTTCAGGTCCCTGGTGATTGCTGTGCCCAGGAATTTGCAGGACTCCACTGCCATCACAGTTTTGTCCAGGATGGTGAGTGCTGGCAGGGCTGGAGGGCTTCTCCTGAAGTCCAGTATCACCTTCACTGTTTTCACTGTATTCAGCACCAGATTGTTGTGGCTGCTCCACAGGACCACCTGATCATCCACCCATCTGTAACCAGACCATCAAGGATGAGACCAATGACTTTAGTGTCATCCGCAAACTTCAAGATTTTGACTGAGGGGTCCGTGAGGTACAGTCTTTTTCGCAGCTTTTCAGGGCAGACTGAATAGGTTGCTGAATAACAGGAGGGTGTGAATTTGTGCTGAATGGGTTTGTGGAAATGGGCTTTTCAAACCTGCAGTAAAAGGTTTTAAGCTCCTCAGCCAGCCGACTATTACCCATTGTCCCCTGTCCTTTTGTAGCTCGTGATGTTCTACAGGCACTTCCAGACAGTTTGTGGACATACTACTCAGCTTGTTGTTGTTTGAGTAGCTCTTTTTTGCAGCTCTGATTTCTTTATTCAGTGTGTTCCTTGCCTGATTGTACAGAGCCCGATCTCCACTTCTATATGCTGCTTCTTTAGACCTGCGCAACTGTTTTAGTTCGGCATTAAACGAGGGCTTGTCG